TATGCCTCTCTCTTCTCAAGTCCAAAATTAAGTTTTCTCCTATGTGCTCCCACAGTATCCTAAGTTATCTGCATCTAGGCATTCATCATACCATATCATAAGATAAGTATCCTAAGGGCAAAAGCAGTGTTATTCATTATCACATCCCTAGTACTTAACATAATGGTTATTATGTTAAGTAGATATTAAATAAACATTAAATAGTTAATATCTATTAAACAAATTGATGTTTTAAACTAGAGGTGAACTAAAAAACATAAGGCAGGACTTCCCTCGTGGCACAGTGGATAAGACTCCACACTCCCAATGCCGGGGGCCCAGGTTCAATCCCTGGTCAGGGAACTAGATCCCACATGCATGCTTCAACTAAGAGTTTGCATGCCACAACTAAGGAGCTGGTGAGCCACAACTAAGGAGCCTGCAAGCCACAACTAAGGAGCCTGTGAGCTGCAACTAAGGAGCCCACACACCACAACTAAGGAGCTGCTTACCGGAACTAAGACCTGGTGCAAACTAATTAATTAATTAATTAATTTAAAAAACCAAACAAAACAAAGTTGTGATCTTCAGAAGTGTTATAATGTACCATATTAGTAGAAACAGAAAATAAAATTTGCAAATTTGTACTTTTTTGGAAGTCCAACTTGATGAAATTACATTGCAGCTTAAAGGAAATTTTATTTAATATTATACCATGGTTAGTTTTTCCACTTGATACTTCACTGCAAATTTAGGAAAATGAGCAAGAAAAACACCTTAACAAGTAACTCATCCCACTATATTTTCTTAAGGAGAAAATCAATTTCAGTATGATGATAGAGGTAATATATTTTATTTCTCTAGTTGATAATGACAAGAAGGTAGTAATGGGGTAAGCCACACACTCACAGAAAAAGTGAGAGATTGCAAAAGTAAATTATCATGTGAAGTTAGATATTAGCAACACAAGTAAAACTGGAAAACTTCAAATTTTGCAGAAATTAAACAACATACTCTTTAACAACTAATGGATCAAAGAAGAAATCACAGGGAAAATTCGAAAATACTTAAAGACAAATGAAAATGAAAACACAAAATACCAAAACTTATGGGACACAATGAAAGCAGAGCTAAGGGAGAAATTTATAGTTATAACGCTTATATTAAAAAACAAGAAAGATCTCAAATCAACAACCTAAAAGCTAGAAAAACAAGGACAAACTTAACCCAAAGCTAGCAGAAGACAGGAAATATTAAAGGAGAAGTAAAAGAAAAACAATAGAGAAAATTCATGAAAACAAAAGATGGTTCTTTGAAAAGAATTTTGTCAACAAAATTGACAATCCTTTAGCTACATGGACTAAGAAAAAAAAGATTCAAATTACTAAAATCAGAAATAAAAGTGGGGATACTACTATTGATTCTACAGAAATACAAAGGATTATAAGAGAGTTCTATGAAAAACTGTACACCAACAAATTGAATAACCTAGATGAAATGGACAGATTCCTAAAAACACAAAACCTACCAAGACTTAGAAAAAAATAGAAAATCTGAATAGACATATAGCTAGTAAGGAGACAATCGGTAATCGAAAGTCTCCTGACAAAAGAAAAGCCCTGGACCTAATGGCTTCACCAGAGAATTCTACCAAACATTTAAAGAAGAACTAATACCAATCCTTCTCAAACTTTTCAAAAAGAGAGGAAAGAATACTTCCTATCTCATTCTATGAGGCCAGCATTATCCTTTATACCAAAGCCAGAAAAAGACACTACAAGAAAACTACAGACCAATATCACTTATGAACACTGATGTAAAAATCCTCAACAAAATACTAGCAAACAGAATTCAGCAGCATATAATATTAAAATGATTATACACCATGACCAAGTAGAACTTATTCCTGGAATGCAAGGATGTTTCAACATATGAATATCGATCAATGTAATGCACCACATTAACGGAATAAAGGAAAAAAATACGATCATCTCAATTCATGCAGAAAAAACAATTGACAAAATTCAGTATTCTTCCATGATAAAAAACACTCAACAAACTAGGAATAGAAGGAAACTACCTTAACATAATAAAAGATATATTTGAAAAATCCACTCAATGGTCAAAGACTGAAAGCTTTTCCTTTGAGATCAAGAACAAGAACAAGGATGCCCACTTTCGCCACTTCTATTCAACTTAGTACTTGGAAGTTCTAGCCAGGGCAACTAGGCAAGAACAAGCTCAAAGGTGCCCAAACTGGAAAGGAAGAAGTAAAATGATCTCTGTTCACAGATAACATTATCTTTTTTCTGCCACACTGCGCTGCTTGTGGGATCTGAGTTCCCCAACCAGGGATTGAACCTGCACCCTCGGCAGTGAAAGCATGGAGTCCTAAGCACTGGACCACCAGGGAATACCCAGCAGATAAAATTATCTTAGGTTAGAAAATCCTAAGGATTCCACAAAAAACTTGTTAGAACTAATAAATGAATTCAGCCAAGTAGCAGGATGCAAAGACAACACAGAAAAATCAGTTGCATTTCTATGTACCAATAATGAACAATCTAAAAGAAAATTACCAAAAGAAGTCTAAGCATAACATACTTAGGAATTAACTTAACCAAGGAGATGAAAGACATACAGTGAAAAACTACAAAAAAAACTGCTGAAAGACAACATAAATAAATGGAAAACACATCCCATGTTCATGGATTGGAAGACCATGATTCATGGATTGTTAAAATGTTAATACTACCCAAAGCAATCTACAGATTCAACACAATCTCTATCAAAATACTAAAAACAGAAACAGAAAAACCCATCCTAAAATTCATACGGAATCTCAAGGGACCCAGAATAACCAAAACAATCTTAAAAAAGAAGAACAAAACCAGAAGACTCACACCTCCTAATTTCAAAACTTACTACAAAGCTACAATAATCAAATAGTGTGTTATCAGCATAAAGACAGACTTACAGACTAATGGAATACAGAGGCAGAAGTAAACCTTTGTATATATGGTCAAATGATTTTTGACAAGCATGGCAAGACCATTTAATGGGGAAAGGATGGTCTTTTCAACAAATGGTGCTGGGAGAACCGAATATCCACATGCAAAAGAATGAAGTTGAACCCTTACCTAATACCACATGTAAAAATTAACTCAAAATAAATCAAGGACCTAAATATAAGACCTAAAACAATAAAACTCTTAGAAGAAAACATAGGACAAAAGCTTTATAACATTGGATTGGGCAATGATTTCTTGTCTATGACCCTAAAGGCACAGGCAAAAAAAGAAAAAATAAACAAATTGGACTGCGTAAAAATTTAAAAATTTGGATACAAAGCACAATATCAATGGAGTAAAAAGGCAACCCACAGAATAGGAGAAAATATTTGCAAATCATACATCTCATAAGGAATTAATATCCAGAATATATAGAGAACCTCTAAAACTCAACAATAAAGAATGAATAACCCAATTAAAAAATAGACAGGGCTTCCCTGGTGGCGCAGTGGTTGGGAGTCCACCTGCCAATACAGGGGACACGGGTTCATGCCCCGGTCCGGGAAGATCCCACATGCTGCGGAGCAGCTGGGCCCGTAAGCCATGTCCACTGAGCCTGCGCATCCGGAGCCTGTGCTCTGCAACAGGAGAGGCCACAGCAGTGAGAGGCCCGCGTACTGCCAAAAAAAAAAAAAAAAAAACCAGACAAAGGACTCGAATAGATATTTCTTCAAAGAAGATGTACAGGCGGCTGCTAATAAGTACATGAAAAGATGCTCAACATCACTGATAACTGGGGAAATGCAAAACTGCAATGAGATACCACCCACTAGAGTGGCTACTATCAGAAAAAAAAAAAAGAAAATAACAAGTGTTGGCAAGGATGTGGAGAAACTGGAACCCTTATGCACTGTTGGTGGGAATGTAAAATGGTATATCTACTATGGAAAAGAGTATGGTGGCTCCTCAAAAATTAAAAACAGAATTATCACATGACACAGCAATTCCACTTCTGGGTATATACTCAAAGAATAAAAGACATTGTCTTGAAGAGCTATTTGCACACCCATGTTCACAGCAGCATTATTCACAATAGCTGATGTGTGGAAGGAACCCAAGTGTCCATCAACAGATGAATGGATAAGCAAAATATGGTATATACACAATGGATTATTATTCAGCCTTAAAAATGAAGGAAGTTCCGACGTATACTACAGCCCTTGAGGACATTATACTAAGTGAAATAAGCCAGTCACAAAAACACAAACGCTGTATGATTCTACTTATATGAGGTACTTAAGTCAAAGTCATAGAGACAGAAAGTAGAATGATGGTTGCCAGGGGCTGAGTAAGTGGGAACTGGGGAGTTATTGTTTAACAAGTATAGCGCTTCAGTTTCACAAGATGAAAAGAGCTATGCAGATGGATGGTAATGATGGTTGCATAATAATGCAAATGTACTTAATACCATAAACTGCACATTTAAAATTGGTTAAGATGGTAAATTTTGTTTTATGTTTTTTTCACAATAAATTTAAGCAAATTATCATGAAATCAGCTGTAACTTAAAAAAAGAGGGTTTTGCCGAAAATAGGTCAGAAAGCAGGATGCTTCACACTGTAGAACACTAAAAATCAGTACATACTCAACATGTCTTGGTTTTAAATTATTGAATATATTACTTTGATTATCAATTTCCTTATAACTTAATGCACAAATACTGGGTATTCTAAAGACAGACATTTGGAAAACTGGTTGTTTCTTTTTCTTACATGCTAAAATTGCCTACTTAAGTTAGTCTCTATAATTATAAGCTTTCACAGTAACAAGCTAGCAGCTTATCCACAACTATTCAGTCCTAGACAAAGGGTTGTTTTGTCCTCAAAGGCTGTGAAACAAAGTGAAGTTAAAAATCTTAAAATACGGAAGTCTTTTTATATTAACATTGCCCTAATGGACTGAACGGAGAAGCCAAGTGATAGGATTTTTATAGACTACAGTAATTCTTACCTGGAAGATCACCCTTTGAGATGGTATCTGTATCCAAATTGTAGGTATCCTGGAGACGCAACAGAGCTTTGGCTGCCCCAACCTGATCTTCATCATTAGGGAAGTACTGTCTCTGAATGGTTAGGTTAGAGATAAAACCTTAAAATAGGGGGGAAAAAAAAAGAGTCTAGACACGGGTATGAAATGTACAGTGTGGGAAATATAGTCAATAACTATGTAATATCTTTGTATGGTGATGACATATCAGAACTAGACTTATCACGGTGATCATTTTGAAATATATAGAAATACAGGATCAATATTTTGTATAACAGGAACATAGTGTTGCAGGTCAATTGTATTTCAAAAACAAACTCATACAAAAAGATATCAGATATATGGTTATCAGAGGCAGGAGGTGGGTGTGCAGGGTAACTGGAGGGAGGCTGTCAAAAGGTATAAAGTTCCAGTTATAAGTAAGTACTAGGGATGTAATGTACAACACAATAAAAATAATTAACACTGCTGTATGTTATATATGAAAGTTGTTAAGAGAGTACATCTTAAGAGTTCTCATCACAAGGAAAAGCATTTTTTTCTATTTTTTAAATTTTGTATCTATATGAGGTGATGGATGATCACTAAATTTACTGTGATAATCATTCCATGATGTGTGTAAGTGAAATCATTGTGCTGTACACTTTATACGGTACTGTATGTCAATTATATCTCAATAAAATTGGAAGAAAAAAGACTTTAGAACCTCACAGACTTCCATTTTCCAATATAGTCTTAAAAGGATTTTTCAAAATCTATTTTATTATAATTTTCCACCATACCATGTGTAACAAGAAAAAGTTAAATATACTGAACAAGACTTGACATACCTCTAAGTTGTTCATCTTCCCAAACCATTTTTAATGTTGCTTAAGTAATCTGAGGTCATTGCATAAATTATATTTGTATTAATAGGTAAAGATCAACTAACATAATAGAGTTTTTAATTATACAACACAGCCTCCACTAAGCTTGAAAAGTGAACATTTAAAGATTTGAAAACGATGTTCACTCGCAACCAATTATAATTTCAGATAACAGTAAGTAAAATGTACACTCTTAAAGTTATGTTTTCTTCTTCCATGTGCCACATATCACATAAATGTGTAAATATATAAAGTTTGGTGGAATTCTTTAAGGAGAAGGAAGAGACATTTATTATATATGTAAGAGTATCAGGTAAGCTAGATTATTAAAATATATTTAGATCTGTTTAATTATTAAATATAGTGTTCATCATCATGGTTTGCACTCTATAAATCCTAATATTAATTTTAAAAGGTTTTACATAAAATACAGCAAAAATAAAACTAAGAAACTAATCACTGGTAACTATGTAACTCCTAAGGAGAAGAGATGCTAAATACTCCTTAAGAAATCAATACAACAAAAAGTGATTTAAAATTTTAATAACATGTGTCATCATTTGCAAATCAAAATTAGGTACAAGACTTCCCTCCATTCTCCTTTACTTATAATCAACTATGCATACTTTGATCATCAAAAGGCCAGGCATTTTTATGTTAATTGAAATGTACAGATGAACAACTAGATGGAAGAGGCCTAAGTCCATATTAAAGCATTAGTTTTAAGACCAATTCCTAGTCACAATATCCACATGCAATTTTACAAGCAAGTTTTACAGAAGACTGGAACGATTTTATGCCCCAAACCAAAATCTATGAAGTAACTTAAATCCTCTCTAATAAAAAGAAAAAACGTATATCTACTATAGCATTATGGGATGACTGCCACAGATTAAAACGCCTAAGTCTTAAGGTTTACTTTATAAAAAAACTTAGTTCATACTTGAGATTTTTTTTTTTAGATTTTTTTAAAAAAATAATAAACAAATGTGTGTGCATATGTATATATGTATACAAACGCATACATATATGATCTTAAAAATGTTCTCATGGGGCTTCCCTGGAGGCGCAGTGGTTGAGAGTCCGCCTGCTGATGCAGGGGACACGAGTTCGTGCCCCATTCCGGGAAGATCCCACATGCCGCGGAGCGGCTGGGCCCGTGAGCCATGGCCGCTGGGCCTGCGCGTCCAGAGCTTGTGCTCCGCAACGGGAGAGGCCACCGCGGTGAGAGGCCCGCGTACCGCAAAAAAAAAAAAAAAAAAAATGTTCTCATGGTGTTATATGACAACAAATAATCACAGGTACTATTTCCTTCTCATCTCAAAGAAGTATTCACAAGTGCTTGCCTTAATTTTTCTTTTCAAGGTTTCCTGTCCTATGCGTAATAGTTTAGTTTACTGCTCACAAATACTTGAAAGCACCCTTGGAGTGCTTTACTACACAGTTGGCTCAGTTCTCTGTCTCTCTTTTTTTTGCCACCTTCAATCATTCAACAAATAAACACTATGTACTAAAGCATAATACCTCTACTTCATTGAACTCCAGCCTTAGTTTTCTGTGTCTGTTACTAAAATATCTAAAAGATCTCAATACTTCAACTACAATTTTATTGTTTCAATTAGAAAGACATTCATTATTACTGTTTGCAGCCTCAATTTTTAAATTTATTGTCTATGTTAAACAAAACAATCCTAAGCTTCAAAGTACTATGTAAAACACAGCTAACATTTTTCCTTATTAGCATCACTCCCAGTACATTAAAAATTGATTAGAAGATAAAGACTTACCCATAAAATTTTTTAAATCTGAAGGTAATCCTAAAATGAAACAATTACCCTCAGAAATGAAGCTGTATGCCAAATCATTGATTCACTTTTTTAGATTTCAAAGCAAAAAGGACCACGTTAAATGAAGAGCAGAAATTACATTTTAACAATAAAGTTCTATCTTTCTTTATTTCCAGTTTTTATTCATGTTTTTTTTAAATCAAGAATTCAGGATGTAGACTAAATTAACTCTAGTCAAATCAAATACATCTCAGCAATAATTCAGTTACAAGGCTGAACACCTGATGTTCTGGGAACTGAATTTATCACTTCTTCTGGCATGTCTACAGGTGGTAGCAAAAAAGCCTTACTTTTTTTTTTGGCTCATTAGTCTTACCATCTGACTTACCATCCGACATATCCTTAAGGACCAGATTCTCCAACTCACTCCACTCAGTGTTCAGACGTTTCATTAACTTAAATGCATTTACAGGGTGTCCAACAAATCCTTCTGGATCTTTTGTTGCTGTGCTGGTTAGCTGATCTAACTTCTCTGCCCATCTAAAAATGTAAGACATAAGTGGAATCTACATAAAGTATATACACACTCAATGAGGAAGAAGACTAGTAAAGCACTCAAAAAAGATTAGAGGGTTTTGAGTTAAAACTATACTTAAAATCCTTTTAAAAGTAAAATTACAAAGGATTTTTAAAAAGCAAGATTCTCTTACAGATAAAATCTAACTTGGCAAAATCAAAATATAACTACAAGACTTTTTGTTTTAGTTTTGTTTCTCCCAAATGGTTACAGTAAATGTAACCTATCTTAGTAAAAGTTGTGATTGGATCCCTCTAGTAAGAATCTAAAAATTTATTTCCCTACAGGTCCTTAAAGCCAAATAATTGATTATTACAAAGTAAGCCCAATCCAATTTCAGTTACATGTTCATTTAAATCAAACTTACAGCAAAATTTTATATTCAGTATCTAGAAACTGTATTTTAAAACAAAAATACTGAATACTTAGCTACTCATTAAACAAAGGCTAGGAACTCTCAGGTCAGAATTAAATATGAACCTGAGTCAATTAAAAATAAATTAGGGGACTTCCCTGGTGGCGCAGTGGTTAAGAATCCGCCTGTCAATGCAGGGTACATGGGTTCCAGCCCTGGTCTGGGAAGATTTCCACATGCCGCGGAGCAACTAAGCCCATGCACCAAAACTACTGAGCCTGCACTCTAGAGCCCGCAAGCCACAACTACTGAGCCCACGTGCCACAGCTACTGAAGCCCGCACGCCTAGAGCCTGTGCTCTGCAACAAGAGAAGCCACTGCAATGAAAAGCCCACGCACGCAACAAACAGTAGTTCCCACTCGCCACAACAAGAGAAAGCCCGCACACAGCAACAAAGATCCAACGCAGCCATAAATAAATAAATAAATAAATTTAAATAAATAAATTAGCATTTAAGGAAAAACTATATCAATTAAATAATACTATACTTATCACTGTAATCTCTAGAATGGAACCATAGGACTGAAGGATAAATAGCAGTGGAAAATTGCTCCAGAAGGTGGCTTGATTAGGGAGGTTAGAAGAGGATAGAAGATATTAGCAACCATTGAAAAAAATTGTCAGTCAATGACCCATACCCATTTATATTCTTATCTCAATCCATATTCTTCAACTGAAGTCTTAGCCTGGGCCTAACTTCTGTTTTCTGTGCTCCTACTTTAGCCATTTCAACTGGCCTTTTAAGACTGACAGAGGGCTTTCACTTTCACTCAAAGAATGTTTTAGCTCTACCAAGAAAACATGAAGGTGGAATCAGAGTCATAGTAAGTAAAACACTTTGCTTACTTTTTTATTTGTTCTAATTTGTCCTCTTCTGCCTTAATATAGTCTTTCAGGGAAGTCACCAGATCTTTTTCAGTACGGATCAAATCAGTCATCTGACCTAGAAGGAGAAAAAGGGAAGAAAGTAATCAAATACCCATACTGGTCAAAACAAGTATTTTTGAATAATTTAAGAATGATTGAGAATGCTTCATTCTGAGAGGACTTACCTGGCATGAATCAGATATGTTGGAGAGAGCATCATTTTTTTTTCTTTTTTTCCTTTTTTAAAAACCAGATAAATAAAAATAAAGCCGGAAACTCTTCTAATCATGTGTTCCAATTTAAATTTTCAAGCTACTTAATTCTGCAAGCTTGGACCATATCGACAAATTGTCTGTCATCTAAAAATTTATTTTTTAATTTCAAAACCTTACTTTCCAAGGATCAATGTTTCTTCTTCCCTACCTCCCCTCTCACCTTTTTGTGGTTTTGAAACTACCTAGAACTAAATTTTTATTCAATAAACAAAGACCACACTAACAAAAAGTATACTTCTCAACTGCAATTCAAATATCCATATTTAGTTATTCATAAGGGGAAAACAGAACTCATCATTTTACATCCCAAAATGAGGTTTCATAACTATAGTACTTGTTTGTGTTTTATTTAGCTCCACAATCATGTGAGGGTAGAACTGGTCAACAAGATGACAGAAAACTTCTCTTTTAAGACATATGAAGTATGTATATAGGAAAACATAAAAGACTAAGTATATACATTAAATGATTTGCTGGGTGGACTCATTACCAGAGAATTTTCTTTGGTATGCTTTTCTAAATTTTCATAAATTTCTAATCTGAAAATGTATTCCTTTTGTAATCAGAGAAAATAATTTAAAGAAAACAATTGAATTTAAAAATGAGAGAGACTTTTAGAGGGGCAGGGACTGAAGTAATGTTTCAGTCTCTGGGAACACAAATGTATTGGTTTTTACTGATCTAAAAAACACTAAAACATGTAAATTTTTAAATGCAAAAACAACAAAAAATAATTAAGACTTACCAATTGAAGTAAAAAAGCCTGGATCAGCCAAAGACTGGGGAAGTAGAAACCCTACAACTAAAATACACCAGATCATCTTCAGAGGCTTACTTTTACAGGATCGCACACCTATAAGAGAAATATGGCCATTATTTTTAAAAAGGAGGACTTCCCTGGTGGCGCAGTGCTTAAGAATCCGCCTGCCAATGCAGGGGACATGGGTTTGAGCCCTGGTCTGGGAAGATCCCGCATGCCGCAGAGCAACTAAGCCCATGCACCACAACTACTGACCCTGTGCTCTAGAGCCCACGAGCCACAGCTACTGAAGCTCACATGCCTAGAGCCCGTGCTCCGCAACAAGAGAAGCCACCGCAGTGAGAAGCCCACGCACTGCAATGAAGAGTAGCCCCCGCTCGCCACAACTAGAGAAAGGCTGCGCGCAGCAACAAAGACCCGACTCAGCCAGAAATAAATTTAAAATAAAATAAAATAAAATGTTAGAATATGCTTAAAGGGAAAAAAGGTTTCAGAGCTTTCTGATTAATCCTCTAAATTGCTAACTTGTTCCATCTTTTCCCTGCAATGGCCTTAAATTTTAAAATAAGTTCAATTAAAAGTTGCAGATATTGGGGTGATGAAAACGTTCTAAAATATACGGTGGTGATCAACTGTTGAAGAACACTGTGAAAGTACTAAAAAGTACGCAAGCATGAACATGGGTGAATAGTGTGGTATATGAATTATATCTCCATAAAGCTGTTTTATTTTTTAAAAGTTGTACAGAATTAAAAAAAAAAAAAAACAACCAACCCTGTCGATTTAAGCTAGCAATTTCTCTCAAAGGGCCCAATGCTGAGCTTTTTCTCTTATCTACTGTGTTCTATGTAAAAAATCCTTAGCCCAGTACAAAGTTGTGGCATTTTTTTCTAAAACCTGGCAGCAAAGCCCTTCTGTCTTTTTTGCTTTGTCCCCCGTAGGGCTGTCTTTTCTGGAATGGATTCTTCATGGCAGATGCAGATTATCAACTAACCAGTAGAAAGTTTTTCACCCTGCTTTCCCAAAGGCCCTGTTAGCACTCTTCTCTTGCTCCTTCTCCACAACATACATGGACTTTAAGTCCTTCTCCTTTATTACCTTACAGGAAAATAAATTACAACTGCAGTACCATTCGCCCCAATAACAGACACCCACTGGTTATTCTGACTTGTCACCCTATTCCTCTTTGGTACAGGCACCTCTGACTCTTCCCAAGTGACTTCTCCTAAAGCAACAGGTTCAAGTCCACATTGGAAAACTCCCTATTACACACATACACACACAAAATACTTTTCCTTAACTTGAATCACTAAAAATAGGTCACCACAGAAACTGACACTGACCTCCTGGAAGTACTCCTAAGTCTCCTCCCTCAAGTCTGCAAACTTCCAGTTACTTCCAGAACCACACAGTAGTGAAATACACTGTTCTCTTGGCTGCTTTACAGTAACTATTTGGGAAGGCTTCTAGCATGCAGCAGATGCAGACACATCCTCTCCTGGGTTCCTGCCAAAGCACAAGACTTTTTCAAAATCCTGGGCTGTCTGAACAGTCTAGAATTTTCTCACTGTTTAAACAGATTTCTGCCATAATTTCTTCATAAATAAATGTTATTTCCAGCAAATACAAATGCTTTTGCTGTACTAACAGAAGGCTAATCAGAAATGTTGTCTAAACGTTTAACTCTGATAAGAAAGTTTACATTTGTCAGATAAGAGCTTATCATTTTTTTCACTGCTAAAATATATTTTGTCCCTAAAGTTTCTGTCAACTTTTATCATCCTTAAACCTCACAATGAATCAAGAACCATTAGCCTACAGAAATTACAAAAAAGAAGCTTGAAAACTGCTTTATTCTAGATGTAATAAAGAGTTATAATCAACAACAAAAAAAACAACAAAAGGAAAAGTTATTGGATCTCTGAAAGGAGAGAAGAATTTTTAAACTTAAAAATGATAAGACAACCTATCAAAAGCCAGATGGAATTATATACACAAAATAATTTAGGTTTATGTATGTTTTTTAAAAATTAACTACAAACTAGGAAACTAAAGAAAACAGAGCTCATTTAAGGAACTCCTACAAATCAGTAAGAAAACTACTAAGATGTTAGTAGATAAGTGGAGTAATAAACCAGAAAGCCACAAAAGAGAAACTATAGTTAACTAAACCCCCAAAAAACAAAAACAAAAACTCACTCATTGGTGAGTGACACAAAAAATTGAAATAAGATAGCCAGTTTTTGCCTATCAAATGAACAATTAAACAAATTTAACAACTTAATTTAAAATATCTAATGATAGTGTTATATGTCAAGAAACTTAAAGTGAACATATTCCTTACTTGTAAATTTAAATGAAAAACAAGGAGACGAAGGGAAGATGGCGGAAGAGTAAGACGCGGAGATCACCTTCTTCCCCACAGATACACCAGAAATACATCTACACGTGGAACAACTCATACAGAGCACCTACTGAACGCTGGCAGAAGACCTCAGACCTCCCAAAAGGCAAGAAACTCCCCACGTACCTGGGTACGGCAAAAGAAAAAAGAATAAACAGAGACAAAAGGATAGGGACGGGACTTGCACCAGTGGGAGGGAGCTGTGAAGGAGGAAAGGTTTCCACACACTAGGAAGCCCCTTTGCGGGCGGAGACTGCGGGTAGCGGAGGGAAAAAGCATCGGGGCCGCGGAGGAGAGCACAGCAACAGGGGTGCGGAGGGGAAAGCGGAGAGATTCTCGCACGGAGGATCAGTGCCGACCGGCACTCACCAGCCCGAGAGGCTTGTCTGTTCACCCGCAGGGGCGGCGGGGCTGGGAGCTGAGGCTCGGGCTTCGGTCGGAGCGCAGGGAGAGGACTGGGGTTGGCGGTGTGAACACAGCCTGCAGGGGGTCAGTGCACCACGGCTAGCCGGGAGGGAGTCCAGGAAAAAGTCTGGACCTGCCTGCTTAAAGGAGCTCCAGAGAAGGGTGCGAGCCGCGGCTAAAAGCGCGGACCCCAGAGACGGGCATGAGACGCTAAGGCTGCTGCTGCCGCCACCAACAAGCCTGTATGCAAGCACAGGTCACTGTCCACACCCCCTTCCAGGGAGCCTGTGCAGCTTGCCGCTGCCAGGGTCCCGGGATCCAGGGACAACTTCCCCGGGAGAACGCACGGCGCGCCTCAGGAGGGTGTAACGTCACGCTGGCCTCTGCCGCCGCAGGCTCGCCCCGCACTCCGTGCCCCTCCCTCCCCGCCCCCCACCCCCCACCCCCCGGCCTGAGTGAGCCAGAGTCCCCGAAGCAGCTGCTCCTTTAACCCCGTCCTGTCTGAGTGAAGAACAGACACCCTCCGGCGACCTACACGCAGAGGCGGGGCCAAATCCAAAGCTGAGCCCCTGGGAGCTGTGAGAACAGAGATGAGAAAGGGAAATAAATCTCTCCCAGCAGCCTCAGAAGCAGCGGATTAAAGCTCCACAATCAACTTGATGAACCCTGTATCTGTGGAATACATGAATAGACAACGAATCATCCCAAATTGAGGAGGTGGGCTTTGAGAGCAAGATTTATGATTTTTTCCCCTTTTCCTTTTTTGTGAGTGTGTATGTGTATGCTTCTGTGTGAGATTTTGTCTGTATAGCTTTGCTTCCACCATTTGTCCTAGGGTTCTATCCGTCCGTTTAAATTTTTTTCTTAATAATTATTTTTATTTTAATAACTTTATTAGATTTTATCTTATTTTATTTTACTTTATCTTCTTTCTTTTTTTCCTTCCTCCCTCCTTCCCTCCCTCCTTCCTTCCTTTCTTTCTCTTTCTACTTCTACTAATTCTTTCTTTCTACTTTTTCTCCCTTTTATTCTGAGCCATGTGGATGAAAGGCTCTTGGTGCTGCAGCCAGGAGTAAGTGCTGTGCCTCTGAGGTGGGAGAGCCAACTTCAGGACACTGGTCCACAAGAGACCTCCCAGCTCCACATAGTATCAAATGGCGAAAATCTCCCAGAGATCTCCATCTCAATACCAGCACCCAGCTTCACTCAACGACCAGCAAGCTACAGTGCTGGACACCCTATGCCAAACAACTAGCAAGACAGGAACACAAACCCACCCATTAGCAGAGAGGCTGCCTAAAATCATAATAAGTCCACAGACACCCCAAAACACACCACCAGACGTGGACCTGCCCACCAGAAAGACAAGGTCCAGCCTCATCCACCAGAACACAGGCACTAGTCCCCTCCACCAGGAAGCCTACACAACCCACTGAACCAACCTTAGCCACTGGGGACAGACACCAAAAACAACGGGAACTATGAACCTGCAGCCTGCAAAAAGGAGACTCAAATACAGTAAGATAAGCAAAATGAGAAGACAGAAAAACACAAGCAGATGAAGGAGAAAGATTAAAACCCACCAGACCTAACAAATGAAGAGGAAACAGGCAGTCTACCTGAAAAAGAATTCAGAATAATGATAGTAAAGATGATCCAAAATCGTGGAAATAGAATAGACAAAATGCAAGAAACATTTAACAAGGACCTAGAAGAACTAAAGATGAAACAAACAACTATGAACAACACAATAAATGAGATTAAAAATACTCTAGAAGGGATCAATAGCAGAATAACTGAGGCAGAAGAACGGATAAGTGACCTGGAAGATAAAATAGTGAAGATAACTACTGCAGAGCAGAAGAAAGAAAAAAGAATGAAAAGAACTGAGGACAGTCTCAGAGACCTCTGGGACAACATTAAACACACCAACATTCGAATTATAGGGGTTCCAGAAGAAGAAGAGAAAAAGAAAGGGACTGAGAAAATATTTGAAGAGATTATAGTTGAAAACTTCGCTAATATGGAAAAGGAAATAATCAAGTCCAGGAAGCACAGAGAGTCCCACACAGGATAAATCCAAGGACAAATATGCCAAGACACATATTAATCAACTGTCAAAAATTAAATACAAAGAAAACATATTAAAAGCAGCAAGGGAAAAACAACAAATAACACACAAGGGAATCCCCAGCAGAAACTCTACAAGCCAGAAGGGACTGGCAGGACATATTTAAAGTGATGAAGAAGATAAACCGGCAACCAAGATTACTCCACCCAGTAA